CTCATACACTAACTGCAAGTGTGGCCATGACGCTTCTAATGTTGGTTCATCTTGTTCTGGATCAAAATCACTGGGCGGCAAGGTCCGGAACAGATTTGCTGAGATCATTCTGATGATCTCAGGGTAAACAGGCTCAGTAAGTACACCCCGGCCTGTGGTAATGAAGTCCACCAGCTCATTCAGAGTAGCTCGTTTTATTTCCTTTCCCTTCAGGTCAGCCACTGGGTCCATGAAGTCAAATGCCACACAGCACTGTCGCAGTTTGCGAATAAACAGTTCCTCCTGCTCTGAAGATGGGACATCTTCTCCAGATTTTCCGAAAAGCCTGTGGGATGACATTATATGAAGAGACAACCACTTCTTGAACTGTTCTATAATATTTATTACAGTTGCACAGTATGCACAGACGAACCAAATGTAACGTGTTGAGTTTCTGACCACTATATAAGTGTCGCTGTATCACACACCAACTCGTAACTCTCTGCTGGCTAGATTCCAACTCAACTCGTAGGCTGCAGTCTTGAGAACTGACTTCGTAGGCAGTGTAGGTCTCTTATAAACCCTCAGGCGGACAACGGGAAAACGCCTCGCTTCCTTGTTGCCTGTTTGCCGATATCCTAGCAACGCTGTTGGTAGTTGTTTACGGCTACGTAGCAACTGCGGCGTCCCGTGTTACGTCACCGCTGTTTACTCGCTTTGCTTAGTATATACCAAATTTCACAGGAACAATATATATAGGATTTGAGGTTCCAGAGCACTGCTTATGAAAACTTCCACTTTTAAGATTCTAGCTTGGCTTATCCTTTGACTGTGAAAGATTGTGTTCTGTTCCTCTGAAATGCTGGTTGACTTTCAAGAGACTACACAGTATTATATCCTATAAGATAGAACCTTCAGGAACAACATACAGTAATACTTATCTTTGATACTGAAAGTTGGCAGAGAATATTCATAGAATGCTGAGAAAAGTTTTGCGTCCAGAAAGACTGTAGTTGGCTGGTTGGGCATTTATGTGAATCTTGACTATAAACAGGGCATGAGGTGGGGCGGGATGTGGCGGGATGGTATACCGGTTCTTTTCTAAATGGCTTAAAAGCATCCCGTTACTTCTTTGGCAGTAAATGCCTGTGAATTAAAAGGGGAAAACCATCCCGGTTCTATTTTCATTCCACCCCAAGCACTGCGTTCTTGGCACAGATGTCTCCCCTCTCATCTCAGAACGGAAACACATGCAGGTTCCGAAATGTTGTTTTTTGTCTAGTTTTTGGAATACCGGACGACGAACAAAGTCGAAAAATGCAGTAATTTTTAATGTTGATGACGCACACTCAGAGATGTTTTAGACAGGCTCTAATTAATCCGTGATAAATAAATTCTAGGCGCTTGCCAGTAGTTCATTGAGAAAAAATGTCAAGGATGTCAAAGTTCTTTACATATGCTTCAATTTGTATTATACAGTTGATACAACTGTGCAGGCATAATTTTGTCAAGTTATTCTTATGACGCTTACGACTACGGATCAGTGTTTAGTTTTAGACAACATAGTTAAACGATTTTCCTCCAGACGCACAATTTTAACGGCGCAGATCCTCGCCATTCGGCAAAAGAAAATGTTCACTTTTATGCGTTATTCCAATTGTGGAAGATAGGCCTGCCACCAAAGAAGCACCTTGGTAGCGTTGGTAGCAGTGGTTAATCATGGACAGTGGCGGTTTGATGTGAATTATAGTTTTTAAGGAGTTTTGTGTTAAGTTTATTAACTTTTCACTTACTTGAAATTGACAGCAGAAATGAATAAGCAAACGGAATCTGTAAGTACCAATTTAAGACTGAGTAAGGAGGCAGTAAGAAAGTTTGTAACATTATAATTTAACGACAAATTAGTAATGACTGAAAGTGCAGTTTGGTGTCTAGTGCTGTTTAATTGTGAGGCTTGGAAATTTTCAGGTATAGGCCTCTTTTGTTTGGCAAAATTATAGAAATAAAAATACGGCAATGCTGTCGTTACCGACGATACAACTTTACTAAAGTGTACCATGTGGTATGGAACTCCGTATAGTCTGGTAGGTTACCGACGTTTCATAGGAACGTACGGCGCCCACCTTCAGAGTGGAAGAGGAAGCCCAGCAAGGAAGCAGGCCGTCTTTCGGCCTCTTTTTCTGTATCTTGAATTTAAATATATTGACTATATACATGTATGTTTTGAACACTGATTCTCTAAGTACCAGGCAGTAAGTTTCAATAAATGAACTTGTTCTTCTTTACTGGTGCTACAACCCTGTGTGGGTCTTGGTCTCCTCCGTGATTTTGTAACAGTACATTTTTCTGGGTTGGAGTCATTAGCCCCATGCCCAATTCCCTACCTAGAGGACCAGAGACTTCACTGCATCTGCCCCCTACCCTTTGACCAGTCTGGCATGTGACCCTACAAGGAGCTTATGCTCCTGCCAGCATAACTCCTCAGGTCATTGGAGCATTCATACCTCCTATCCACAATGATGCAGTAATCCTCTAAAGTACAGTAAGTAAAGGTATCCCTCTAACAGGCTGTGGAGGCCAGTAGGGTTGCGAGATGTTGAGGTTCCCTCATTTTCTAGACAATCGGCTCATAGATGGAGGCAAGGTTGTCAGCCCTACACGCCGGCCGCTCTTTTCCCCCAAGAATATTCCTGGTACTCATTTCTGTTAGAGGCTGAGTCGACCCCAGGACCATAGTGCGGCTGGAAGGATTAGGTCAATTGAAAAAATCCAATGACATCATCGGTACTTGAATGCATGACCTTCTGGCTTGTATCATAGTGCCTCAACCAACTACACTACCATGTGCGGTAATCCTCACAGAGGAGAATAAATGAACACTGCTAAAAGAATTCATATATGAAGATTTACTAATTTTGAAATTGTGCCATTTGTTAACTTTGTAAATGTGAAATATAATTCATTACTTGATGCTGTTTCCTGATTTACTGAGTGCACAAATGGAAATGAATTAAGTAAAGTTACAGTAAATGAGATACCTAAATTGAACAGACAGTTTGATGGTATGAAACTTTGAGTTTGTTGGCAAACATTCAGGTACTGGAAATCTGTACTACTGGATATCTGGACAAATACTGTCCAATTTTTATGCATGATTATAAATAATATACGTACGTTCCACTGGGTTTGTTAAACTTGTACAGGCATTTTAAGAAAGATTAAGTTCTTTCCAGAATATTTTGTTCTGCATTATGTGTTAGAATGTGCAGGACAGCTAATAAAGTAAAGTATTTGGAATGACAGTTACAATTGAATATTGCATTTACAAAACAGTTACAGACAGATTAAATAGGGAATATTAGCTACAGTAAACTCTCACTAATCCAGGTTAATTATGGGGAGAGGTCATCCATATTAAGCAACAGTGTGGATTAATGAAGCAAAAGATAGCCCTAAACGAGAAAAAAAAACCTCAGAGAACACAAATAAATGGAAAATTTAAAGATAGGAGCAGTGGTGATAAATATATAGAAAATTTATTTAGAAACTCACGTACTTGTTTCTGAAAGTAATAGTGCAGGTTTGAAGAAACTGTCAAGTTTTGTCTGAACAGACAAGTGACTCATCTGCCTTCCTAAATGCCACGTGTCTTTTAAAGAATATACTCTGCTGTGAACAACATGTTTTCATTTTTCGTACTTCGATCCAGATTAACCGTAACAAGATTAGTAAGGATTTACCATGTGGCCACGCCATAGCTCATGCGGTTAGTTGCTGGCTTCCCACCACAGCGGCCCAGGTTCGATCCCGGGTTTGGTCAAGTGAGATTTGTGGTGGACAAAGTGGCGCCGAAGCAGGTTTTCTCTGAGTACTTTGGTTTCCCCTGCCAATCTTCATTCCACCAATTGCTCCACAATCACCCTCACCTATCATCTGGGGCTGGTACAATAGGCCAGAAGTGGCCGCAGTACAAGGGACTTAGTCCCACCCCACTAGCAATAAGAAGAAAAGGATTTACTATACCATTACTTTAGAAATTTTTTACTTTCCTGTCTCCTATCCAGGATCCTAAAATTATAAGTTTACCTGTTATTTTATATGGGTGTGTAACTTGGTCTCTCACTTAAAGGTAATTTGAGGGTATTTTAGAATAGGATGTCAAGGAGAATGTTTGGCTCAAAAGAGAGGAACTAATGGGAAGATGGAAAAAGGTGCATAAAGAGAGCTCCATAATTTGTACTTGTCATAATTATTAATTATATTGTCAAATGAAGGAGGATGGGGTGGGAAGGGCATACAACATACATGGAGAAGGTGGGGAAATGCATACAAAATTTTAGTTCGAATGCCTGAAGGGAAGAGGAAACTTGGAAGATTTAATGATCACTGGGAAGGTCATGTCAGATGGATTGAAAGGTAAGTTATTAGAATGCTGACTGTGTTTGACTCGGGATAGTGTCCTGTGGCAAGCTGTTATGGATATGATAATGAACACTTGGGCTGCATAAAAGGTAGAGAATTTCATGACCATCAGAGTGACTGTCAGCTTCTCGTGATGGACTTGACTCCATGGAAGTTAATGGGTAATTACTGATATGCTGATGTGTGATTTTAGATACTCTCTTCATTTAGAGGAGCCTCGGAAATTAAAAAGCTAGAAGACACTCAGCGAGCTCTGATTTCTAAAAGTATGAACAAATATGCAGACAGGCAAAGCTTTTCAAGACAGAAGAGCATTACAAGTGTCTCATCTTCCCTTGGAACCAGCTATGGGTCAGCCACTGAGACTTCTGTGGCAGATGTGGGCAAGAGAAAGCCGTGTGGCTATCTTACTTTGCTTGACATCAGCATGTTGGGTGGATTTTCCATTCCAGAATCAAGTATATTGCCTGATACGGAATTTGTCCCGAATTCTTTTCATCAACAGTCTCATCTTTCACGATGGCGATCATTTGTGAATGAAACTCCGAAGGTATGTAAATATTGTGTTAACATGATTATTTTTATAGATTATAAACTCTTTGCCATACCTAACATTGTAGAACACAGTATAATTAAATGCCTTTTGTGATGCTTAACATATTAAAATGTGGTTAAGGAAGACCATTAATATCAAGTAGACAAGTAGCAACATGATACAGTGAATTTAGAGGTAGTATCATGTGCATGTGTCAGCCATTATATAGTGTTATAACCAGGCAGGACTGGTCTTCACATTGCTGCCGTTCTGTTTTTTCTGTCTCTCTGTAAATAGCTATGGCAAAGAAAGAATAGAGAATTTGTCACAAATGCTCTAGAAGCAAGGATGCTATGATCTTGATTTGTTAAAGTAGGGCCGCAGAAATATTCCCTTCCCTTACGATGGTGAGTGAGCAGAGACTGGTAGCTAGTATAAACAGCTTTTATAAAGCATACTGCAAGACCATGAATGAGTGGCTCTTTTAAAATGGATAGCAGATTCAACTTGTATATTTCTGGAGCCCTGTGAAAGTATGTGTGTGTGTATGCGCGCACATTTAAAAAGGAAATATGTAATGATTCTCTTATCTCTTTCAGTGGATAATGAAGATGGGAATAGAAGGTTTGAATAAACAAAGAAACAGCAGAAATAAAAGGGTATGTATTGCAATTCAGCATACTGGTTTGTTAGCGCTGGAGAGTATTTGAATATCGCACACAAACTCATGCACACATACACGTTTTTCATAAAAGAATGCAGATACTTCAAATCTCTAGAACAAAACAAATGGACAAAGTGAACTACACTTATAACACTTTGAAAGAACAAAATATTCTTATGCTGATATAGTTGATTTTTTCATACGAGAGTTACTTATATTATGGCAGCTCAGTGGAATGTGAAATTTTAGGTTCTTTCAGCACTTGCTATGAGGATTACCACATGATGTGATGCCATATAGTATGGTAAAAATTTTATAGTGTTTTGGAGAGGACCTGCTGTCTCCCTGAAGGTGGAGGCAGCTGGTTACTCCGAAACACTGGTGACTATTATCATGTATTTAGTGACTAGACATGGGGTTTAGGTTGATAACTGGATTTACTGGACTCTTATAAATTGTACCTACAAGTAATTATAGTTCTGTTTCTAATCACTACAGCACACACTGTCTTCCCAGTCTGCTATGTCTTCACCAGTGGTTGCCTGGTAACGGATCAATATCCTCTTCTGCTCATGTGATTACTGGCTGGCGTCTGTCTCACGTCTAACCTGTGGCTATCAGTGTCCTCACATTCTTGACTGCCTGTTTCCCAAAGGGTCTCACTATATAGCCTTCGGGTGGACCCAGTAGAAAACACTGTTTCAAAGAGTTCCTCTGTTGTTGCAGTCTTGGTTGTTGGTGTGGAAACCAGCTTTCGTGTGTTCCCTACTGGTCGTTACCATGCAGCAGATGGCTCTTCTTATTAAACTATCAGGCTTTCAGCCCTCATGTCACTTGGTCTACTAGACTGCACAGTGTCACATGACAGATAACAGTAATCCTCACTGCAGTGCTGTCAATTTTATATATAAGAGGCTCACTAGACATGAATAATTTTTTAGTGGTGTCCAGTTGCACGACTCGCAGAGTCATGAGATGATGAGATGGTAAAATATGGTCATGAGTCCTGTGGGACCGAGAACCAAGAATGACTG